TCAGCGTCAGGCTGTCCTCCAGCGTGGTCTGCAGGCTGCCGGCCGAGCTGCTGGGGCTGGCCTCCAGCGATGAGTCGCTGCCTCTGGCCTGTGCGGCAGCAGGAGGGGACAAAGGTCACCGGTAGCCCCAGCCCTGCTCCCCGGGCCGCCCAGACCTTCAGGCTCCTGGGTGGGAGCACCCCCACCCAGGCCACCCCACCTCCTGTCCCAGCTTCTGGGGGCCTCTCAAGGTGACCCCTGCAGTGGTCTCCTCGTCCCGGCACACACCCTGGTCCTGGGGGAGTCAAATGACTCCGCTCATACCCAGGTCAGGTCCTGGCCCCTGCACAAAAGCCCCCAGGCCTCACTAGGCATGAAGACCTCCCTGGCCCCCCACACACGCCCCCCCCAGGTAACAAGTGCTTCACCCCTCACTGCCTGCTCAGCCCTTTTGACCTGACCTCTCCCTGCTCCCCCGCCTGTGGGATATTCAGGCTGCCCAAGGGGGGACCCCGGCCCACTCCACAGACACACTCTGTTGGCCGAGAGTCCCCACCTGCCCCTCCACCTCCGTTCCTAATCGAGCCCCTTCTCGCCCCTCCCAGGGCACCTGAGGACCCTTCCTCAGCCCCTCAATGCATCACCCCACAAAGTCTCCCAGCCCCCGTCTGCATCCCCTCAAACTACAGCCCACCTGCCCTCCTTCAGGGCCCCAGCTGGGCCAGCCCTAAACTCCACTGGCCCCAGATGCCCCAGGCTGGTCCCGCCCATTTCTTCAGCCTCTGGTGCCACCTCCTCTGTGGAGTCTCAGCACCCCCAGACTCACTCCCACTCCTCCAACGCCCCAGCATTTCTGTGTCCTGTGCCTTTTACTGGACCGGCCCCCTCCTCCTTGGACTTCAAGGCCCCACCCAGCTGCCCCCCGGCAGCACACTCTCAGAGGGGGCTGTACCTGCCGCAGGAGGGTGCAGTTGGCGCTTGGTGACCGCAGGGGTGCCCAGGAGCCCTGCAGGGCGATCTTGGGGAGGGGCCCAGGGCTAGCGCCCTTCTCCTGTCCCGGCTGGCCGGCAGAAGCGGCGGGGTGGAAGAACTCCGCAGGCACAGGCAGGAGTGGGCTGGAGGCGTCTGGGGAGAAGGGGCTCTGGGGTGCAGCTGGGGAAGGAGGAGAGGGAGGTGGGGAGCGGCCCTGGAGGGTGGGCTGCAGGGTGGGGCAGGCCTCCTCGCCGAGCAGCGGCCGCCCCCTTGGGAGCTGCACGGGCAGGGTGCTCGCCGCCGGGTTCCTATTCTAGACCATCATGTTATTTAGGGGAAGCACAACTAAATGGTTACCTAAAGGAGGTGCAGTTTCCTTCCATCAGAAGGGCTCTGGGGCCCTGTGCCTGTCCAACTGGGGAAGTCTGGGTCTTGGGACCTCAGCCATCATGTCCAGCCAAGGGGCAGTCAGCTTTAGGGTGGGCTCTCCCTCAAGAAAAAGTCACCCCACCCCAGCACCAAGGCAAAGCCTCCCAAAGTAACATGGGGGGCGCAGTTCATGGTCTTGGGGTGCTCTCTTGACTTTTCAGCTTTCTGTCCCCCACCCCCAACCCTGCAGCCAGGGACACGAACCACAGTCCCACCACAGTCACTCACAAGAGGACTGGGAGTGGGGGCGAGCCCGAGCGGACAGGCGGGGTGCCCTCTGCCCGCCGTCCGCAGCCCAGCCACGAGCCCAAAGCACAGGCCGCGAGGGCGACTGGAGGAGGCCGCCCGGACACGTCGCAGGGAATACAGCAGACAGGGGGTGTGTTGTGCGTCTCCGCCTTTGGTGAGGATCTTTGCCACCATCACCTCAAATGCAGCTCTAGAAGACACCCCAGCTGGCTGACAGTCTCCTTCTGCTGGATGATGTGGGTACACCAGCCTGCTTCCCTTTTCACCAAAGCTCCTAGGAAGCTCGACGTGAAGCTTCCCTCGGCCCCGGTTTCTCGTATGTTATCTCATCCCCATTTCCTACTGTCAGCTTTGCCCGTCTGGGCGCTTTCTGGACTCACGACAGCCAGCAGGGCAAAAACATACAGGCGGGCGCCGAGCCCAGGGCCGGGGCGCGGGGAGCCGGTGGCCCCGGCCCTCACCTGGGCTGCTCTCCCGCTTCAGCCAGGACCGCACCGGGTTGCAGGGGATCGTCTCCATCGCACACAGCAGGTTCTCTGGCCCCGAGGAGGTGGCCAAGTTGGACGAGGGGAAGAAGCATTCATCCACATCCCCCAAATGCGGGGGTCCAGGCGGGTCTGGCTCTCCCTGCAGGAAAGGGGAGGTAGGAAAGCAGGCCGGGGGGGCGGGACAGAGGTCCGGTCCGCCACACTGCCTTCCTGCGGGCTCCACAGCCCTTTTCCGGGCTCCTCCACTGCCTGGCTTCCTCACCTCCTTCCTCTACCTGGCCACCAGTCACTGCCAGAACCAGGTGAAGGGGCCACCTCCATGAAGCCCCCTCCGACGCCCAGACAGTTTCCCCCAATCACGCCCCTCATGGCTCTGGGACCCCCGAGGGCAGTGACGGTTTTCCGTGTCTCTGCAGCCCACGCCGACACCACGTGCAGGCCAGCGGGCAGCAGAGGACAGGCTAAGCTGGGCAGGTGCCTCCCTTTGCTGACCCTCAGTCTTCACGTCCATGAAGAAGGAAAGGAGCCCCTTCTTCCTAGGCCTGGCGCCCAGAATCGTCGGCACTTCCCAGCAGACAGGCCTCTATGACGAATAAAGCCAGAGCGTGCCCACCCAGACCCGCAGACCCGACGTCCTGTCTGGGAGAGCAGCTCGGGGGTGCAGGGGGTGCCTGGGTAGGGTGATGGGAGCTGGGAGCTGCCAGGGCCCGAACAGAGGCAGACCCACCCCCCACCCAGCCTTCCCCGAGCTGATGGGAGACGCCCGGCAATGGCAGGGGGGGCAGCGGCGTCAAACCCCAGCACCCCAGGGCCTCCACAAGCAGGGTCAGTGCACCCCTACCTGGGGCCAGGCTCCTCTCACGTGCCCACGGGGGGCAAGAAGAGCCGGAGTAGAGCGTGCGGGCCAGGAGGCGGAGCCCCCACTCCAGCCTGCAGACCCTGCCGGCCCGGGGCTCCTCACCACCTCTGGGTGTGGGCTGGGACCGCGCCCCTGGCCTGCCGTGCCCGCACGGAGTGGGCGAGCCTCCCCACTCCTCAGAGCCCCAGCCCCGACATGGGAAGCGGGCCCTCAACACCCCGGCCAGAGCTGGGGGCGCATGAGTGCAGCAAGCGCCTGGCGCACAGCAGGCGCTCGCACCTGGTGGGGCTCCTCCCTGCGCGCTTCAGCCTCCTGGTCCCCTGTGAGGTTCGCCTGCCAGGGACAAACCCCATTTACACAGATTAAAAAGACCCAAAGCAACCAGGGGCAACCCAGGGGCAGTGCCCGGACGGAGCCCAGCTGGGTGCCCTGCTGTGATTTCAGGTGGTCACTCCGCCTCTCTGAGCCCCACTGTTCATCCGACCGGGGGGAGGTGAGGGCCGGGCACACCGCGGAGGCCACTCAGTGGCACCGGGGAGGAAGCAGTGTCCCTGCTGGGCAGCCAGAGGCCGGGCTAGAGGGGCTGACCCCTGCCTGGGAGCCCTGGAGGGCCGCTCACCTTGCTGTCTCTGGGGCCCAGAGGGCCGGCGGGAGGATCCTCGAGACTCAGGTCGTCACCCAGCAGGATGGAAGAGGACCTGTCTGAGTTCAGGGAGAAGGCCTCCGTCTCGGCCAGCTGGACCTGCAGGGACAGGCCGTGGCCTCAGTTCATCCAGGGCAGGAGTATGCAGGCGTGGCCCTGAGCTCCCGGGCTCAGGGCCTAGTTGTCTAGAAAGATGCTGGGGTCAGGGCAGTCCAGAGAGGGGCTGAGCACGACGGCGAGCCGGTCCCTGGGCAGGGGTTGATGGCCAGGGCGTCAGGCCAGACGTGCCAGGCTGGCCGGCTAGAGGCAGGCGGCCTTTGTGGGCTGCGGACACGGAGGCCTGTCCACTCATCCCCGAGCAACGCCCCGGCACTGGCCCAGCAGGTCTCTGGGTCTCTGCCAGGAGCATGCTCGCCTCAGCGGGCCCCTCCGTCCCCGGCACGCACACACACACACCATCTACTGTCCTTACTTCTTGCTTGTCGTGTTGACACTTCTCACAGCCGGCCGGCGAGGAGTAGTGGTGGAAGATGGAGCCAGACAGGTTGTCGATGATGGTCAGCTCCCCCTCCAAGGAGTCCTTGATGATTAAAGAGACGCTGTCCAGCCACAGGTTCTCCTAGGCGGACGGGGACGGGGTGGGGACAGGCGGGATTATGGCTGGG